AATATTTTAAAGATATAAGATGTAACTGACAAGCCTAGACAATTGACTTAATTTGAAAGGCTAAAAGGAGGGAATAATCACAACTGATGTCAAAGTTTTGAGCTCAGTGTACAGTGGTACCAGCCACGTAATGGAAACTTGAGGAAGCTGAACACAGGTAATGAATGCTGTGGCCAAACTGATATTGTCTTCTTCAATGGGAGGCCTTCCTTGCTCACTTATCTGACTGCCTGTGTGGTTGCTGGGACACATTTGCAAATGGAGTGCATTGGGAAAGCCTGGGAGACAAGGACAGGCATGCCTTCTCTTGTCAACATCTATCTTGCCTGGGCTTCTTAGCCAACATGACAAGAAGCTTGCTCTAGACTTCTAAAGAGAATCTTGGGGCTCATTATTGGATGTAACTTCAGAGCAAGGGTCACATTCTTTTGTTGACAAGTAGGTACCAATCCTATTCCATACTATCACCACCCTGGCCAGCAGCTAGTTCTTAGCCTGAACTGATCCATCAAAAGAAAAAGGGGAGGACATTGATCATTGTCGCACTCCCCACCATAGAGCCCCTTCCATCCTCTTAGAACTCAGGGACCACACCTTCAGACAAGTTTATTTATTTAGGCATTTAGGGACCAAACCCAGGATTTCATTTTTGGTAGGCAGGCATTCTACCACTGAGGTACATCCTACCCTCGTGCCTCTGTATCACAGACAACACCAAGTTTCCAGGCTCCAGTAAAAGCAGATGTTCTGAGGCTGTCCAAACTTTGCAGGGAGTTTTGCTGCTGCTGTAGTTCAAACACCTAAATGGGAGGGTGGAGGTGGGGCAGACAGTCTCTGTGGTAATCTGGCTTTGATTTTCATACCACGACCATGTACTTGAGTTTCAAACTAGCTGTGGGCTTTAGAGCATAAATCCACAGCTGCCTATAAGTTCTATATAATTTAATTTTGTTATTGTTTGTGTAAGATTTATTTATATTTGTGTGTGTGTGTGTGTGTGTGTATGTGTGCCTGCATGAGTTTATGTGCATCACATGCATACAGAAAACCAAGACGGCCAGAAGAGGATATCAAATCCCCTGGGGCTAAAGCTATAGGCAGTTGTGAGCTGCCTGATGTAGGTGCTGGGAATTGAACCCAGGTCCTCCATAAGAGCAGTAAACACTTTAAAAAAAAAAAAACCCTAGGTTTATTGTTGGGAGCTATTGATCCATTATGTACATTGAGGTGTGGCAGGCTTGCTTGTTTACTGAGTTTGTGTTTTGCACACCAGTACCTAAACTGCCAAGTCAGGAGGAATGTGTTTATATGGTGGAGTTCACAAGTATTTAACTGCTCCTTGATCCTCAGATACAGATGGGAAAAACAGCTGTTGAAACTAATTGAGTTAAGCAAAGGGTGGTTAGCTGATGTTCTACTGTATAAAAAGGCGGAGCTGAAATAAACCGGGGCTGCAGTCTCTACTGACAGTCCTCCCAAGTATCTTTTCTCTGTCTCTTGTTTTTTCTTTCAATCCTCACTCCCCCTTTCAGGTACTGTCCATCTTGGCCGACTGGCACTGGCAGTTTATATAGTGAGTTCGAGGCCAGCTGAGGTGACAGGAAGACCCTGTCTCAAAAAAGACCAAAAAAATCTTATTTATTGGTTTTATTTTTTATGTGTATGAGTATATTGCCTGCATGTAAGTAAGTATACCCATGTCATGCAATTCCTGAAGAGGTCAGAAGAGGGCATTGGATCCCCTGGAACTGGAGTTGTGGATGGTTGTTAGCTGCCATATGGGTGCTGGAAATCAAACCCGGGTCTTCCACGAGAGCAGCCAGTGTTCTTAACCACTGAACTATGTCTCCAGTTCCAGAAGTAAACATCTTAACTGCTTAGCCAAAGTGGTTTTTATTTTTCATTTTTTGATTCTTTGAGACTGAGTCTCCCTGTAGCCCCAACTGGCCTAGAACTCACTATATAGACCAAGCTGTCCTCATTCTCATAGAGATCCACCTGCCTCTGGCTCCTTAGTACTGGTATTAAGGCTTGGCTATTTTTAGTGAGGCTGGGTCTTGCTATGTAAGTACTTGTTATGTATGTACTTAAGTAAGCTTTGAATCTGCCATTTTCCTGCCTTGATCCGTCAGGTGCTGGGATTACAGGTATTCATTACCATACCCAGCTTTATGAATAATTTTGAACACTAGCATGTAGCCCTTATTATAACCCTCACTACAATCAGGTGGTTTAGGGATATCTGGATTCTTTTTTGTGTTCCAAGGCATTCTGGAGACCCTAAGCGAGTTCATATAGCATGGAATATAATGAGCAGTTGCTCAGGGTAAGCATTTGTGTGAACAGAGGGACACTGGAGTCCCAGTTTGGCTTCTTCAAGCCACTCTGTCCCAGGAATATTAGCTAACATTTCTAAGCCTCAATTTCCACGTCAGTAAAATGGGGATAATGATGATTAGTCCAGAGCAGTGTTGTGATTAACAAATTGTACAGCGAGGTGATATTAATATCTCTTAATGTACAGCAGATTATCCCCAAAATGAGGTGGCTTAAAAATAGTAGCTAAATGGGGCTGGAGAGATGGCTCAGTGGTTAAGAACACTGGCTATTCTTGCAGAAGACCCGGGTTCAAATCCCAGCACCCACATGGCAGCTAACAACTGTCTGTAACTCCAGTTCCAGGGGATCCAGCAGCCTCTTCTGTCCTCTGCAAGCATTGCACAACACGGGTGCACTTACGTATAGCAGGCAATACCATACACATAAAATAAAAATAATAAATTTTTTTTTAAAAAAACACTAGGAACTTCTTTGAAAAAAAATAGCTAGAGTTATCTCACAGGTTCAGAGAACTGGGAATTTAGGATTGACTTAACTGGGTCTGGTTTGAGGTCTTGAAAAGTTCAGAGATGTCAGCAGGGCTATGGTCATCTAACTGCTACCCTGGCCTGGGGGATCTGACTCTTGAGTTTGTATATTCATGTACCTGGTATGTTGGTGCTGGTTGGGAGATGAGAGCCTCAGTTTCTCCCAACATGGGCCTCTAAAGAGAATTGCTGGAATGTTCTCAGAACATGATGATGGATGTGGTGATCAGCCTAAGAGACCCAGGAGAGCTTGCAATACCATTTATGACATAGTCTTAGACATCACACACCACCACACACACTGTGTTCTTTTGTCATATGGACAACATTCTGATTCTTTCCTCCTGGGTGTCAAGAGGAGTCCTTACTCAGCTCAATTCAGTACTGGAGGAAACTGAATGCTGACATTAAAACCAGGAAGTGAGGATCATTGTCAGCTTTCTTGTTTGCTGGAGACAGCCATGATGGCTAGAGAAGACCATGATGATAGCTGGAGACCACCATGATAGCTTGCACCCATAGCTGAACTGCACGGCAGCTACTGATAGAACTACCATTGTTTTGTGCTTCTTGTCACTTCCATCAAGAGAGAACCTTTCCTTTTTTTTCTGAAGTTTCCAGTTTCACATCTACTCTCAGATCTGGTGACCTGCCCCCCCCCCCATTGGTGACACCAGAAAGGACAGCAACCGATGGCCTTCCAGAGTGACTGGAGCAGCTTAGTGCTTAGTGATATTTTGAATCCAGCCTTTTCTGGTTCTCTCTTCCTGGGTGTCTGTTGGGAAACCCTGCTGTTAGGGTTGTAGTTCTCCATGTCTGGATAGCCCTAAGGGGCTCCACGCCAAATGGAAGGACTCCCCTTTTCAGCAGGGGGCCTCCTGCTCTCTTCCTGGCTTACCTAGAAAGTGCCACCAAGCATGGATGCCTGACCTTATCTGGAACATGACCTTTGGCATAGTTACCTGGAGTAAAAACTACCCCCAGGTTTTTTCTATATGATAATCAGGCATTGCCTGATAGTCTGGAAGATAGGAGCCCACTGCCACATGTAAATAAAGCACACTATGAGCACCTATCAGATGAGGCTTTGGCTACTGCCTCCACACTATAAGTTCTCTAGTTCTCCCACTGAATAAACGGAGCTGTTTTCACTGTGTCTGGAGCTGTATCACTGCTATTTCACTGCACCTGGGACCAGCCTCCCCGGAAGGGCTTTCTTCCGTCAGTGCTCACTGGCCATCCTGACCCTGTTCGTCGCTTCTGCTCCCCCTGCCCTTGTGGGCTGGTGGCCAATGACCCGCGAAGAGAGGGAGAGATCCCCGCAGGTGTCAAGAGGAGTCCTCACTCAGCCTGATGGTTTCTCTGATGATTTGCATGCTGTGGTCAGCAGGGACTGCAGGACATAAGAAATTGTTGTCATAAGAAAGATGCTCAGCCATTTCCTTTTTGATACCACTGACCATCAGTCCAGTGAGAACTGGACATGACTAGACACTGACTTGTTGAATATACTGAGATGATACCATTACTGTTCTTTTATAATATTTTATTCATTATTTGTATTTAATGTGTATGAGTATATTGCCTGAATATATGTAAGTGCACCCATGTTGTGCAACAACTGTGGAGGTCAGAAGAGGACATCAGATTTCCCTGGAACTGGAGCTACAGATGGTTGTTAGCCACCATGTGAGTGTTGGGACTCAAACCTGGGTTCTAGCACAGCCAGTGCCCTTAACCACTGAGCCATCTCTCCAGCCCCACCGTTGTTATTCTTGATAATGACTACTTTTTCTTTTGTTATAAAATTTCTAATTTCTTAATAAAACTTAGAAAAAAAAAAGAAAGATTCTAACTTGCAGTTTGTGTGGCCCAGCTCTGCTAGGCAAAGAGTAGGGACCAGGGTCACTCCTGTGACAGCAGAGACGACTGTGCAGAAATAGAAGTGCACCACTGAGGAGCAGTTAAGTGTCTGTCTTCTGTCAGGCAGGGCTTGTCAGCATCAGTCCCAGCTCCTGGATAGCTGTAAGCACTGCTGTGGGTCCTTGCAGTGCCGTAGCAGAGACTGCCTGTTTGATCTCTGTGGCAGAAGCTGTCAGTTGTCCCTCCAGTTCTCCCTTCTTCCTCCCACAGAAACATAACCTGTAATCACCAGCTGGGGATGAGGCACCAAGAATAAAACCTACATTTGCCTGGTTTCTCGATGAGTTGTCAGCAAGCAGCGGAGGTATGTGCAACTTCTGGAGATGGGTGCGCCTTTCTTCTCTTCTTCCTCCCTCCTGGAGACAGAGATGTTGATGTGAATGGTGCTCTAAAGCCTTTTGGGGTTATAAGTGCCTTTGCCAACAGAAGCCCTTATGGCAGAGCAGAAACCTAGAAGAAACCTAGGTCTAAACACAATGGAACTCCATTCCAACAGTAAGCTGACCTGCCCCTAGACTTCTTTATATTACTATTTTATTCTTATTATTTTATGTGTATGAGTGTATTGCCTTCATGTATGTAAGTACATCTATGTTATGCAATGCCAGTGGAGGTCAAAAGAAGGTGTCAGATTCCCTGGAACTGGAGTTATGGACAGTTGTTAGCTGTCATGTAGGCACTGGGAATCAAACCTGGGTCCTCTGCAAAAGCAAGTCTCCAGTCCTGCCCCCAGACTTCTTGATCACTAGAGAGGTATAGTTGTGTGTGTGTGTGTGTGTGTGTGTGTGTGTGTGTGTTTGTACATTCACACATCCACTGTGCGTGCACACATGGAGGCCACAGGTGGACACCGAGTGTCTTTTCTCTGTCATTCTTCACCTTATTTGAGACGTTTCTCACTAAACCTGTAGTTTGCCAATTTGGCTAAACTAGCTGGCCAGCAAGCCCCTGGGATCTGTCTCCCACCCCTCCAGTTCTGGGGTTGCAGACCTGCATCACTGCTCCTGGCTTTTACATGGGTGCTGGGGATGAGAACTCAGGTCCTTGTGATTATACAGTAAGCACTTTACCCATGAGCCATCTCCAGGTCCTTCCCAAGTTTTTGAAACCCTTCTTATTTTCTTTTCTTTCTATTACTTTGTAACAAATGTCACCCCAACCACATAATTTTCTATTGCAGTGGCTATAATTCCACTCCTTGTACAGGATTTCTACCAGGCTGTTCATTTAGCACTTGTGGAAAAGTCTGTTAAAATGATGCCAGGAGTCAAATTATTCTTATTTACAGATGACATGATTCTATACTTAAAAGACCCTATAGAATCTGCTAGAAAACACTTACATCTGATAGACACAGTAAAGTTGCAGGATAAAACATCAATATGAAAGAAACAGTAGCCTTTGTACATACCAAAAATGTACTCTCAGAGAAAGAAATTATGATAAACATCCCATTCATAATGGCTTAAAAAAATTACGTACCTAAGAATATGTCTAACCAAGACATTAGAGTAAGACCTCTACAATAAAACCTTCAAGACATTGAAAAGGGAAATCAAAAAAGATACTAGATGACAGAAAGATCTTCCATGCTCCTGGATTGATCAGATTAATATAATGAAAATGACTATACTACCAAAATTAATCTATAGATTCAATGCAATACCTACAAAATTCTAATATCATATTTCACAGATCTAGGGGAAAAAAAGACCATAAGTAGTCAAAGCAATTCTAAGCTAGACTTGTCACAATATCTGACCTCAAATTATACTACAGAGCTATAGTGATAATGACAGCCTGTTATACTACATAAAAACAGACAAGTAGACCAATGGAACAGAACAGGGGACCTGGAGCTAAACTATACAACCTGAAACACTGAAACTTCTAGACAAAAACATAGGGGCTACTCTGAAGTAGGCAAGAACTTTATGAACATAACTTCAATTGCACAAGAATTAGTCCCAATCAATGGATGGGACTACTTGAAATTAAAAAGTTTCTGCACAGCAAAGGGAACTATCAGTAGAACACAGACTGGGAGAAAATCTACAGAAATTAAACATGAGTTGAATAGACAGTTTTCAAAAGAGGAAACACAAATGGCCAATAGCTATTTTTAAAAGTGTTCAATATCCCTAATCATCAGGGAAATGGGAAATGCAAATTAAAAGTACTATGAGATACCACCTCACCCCAGTCAGAATGGCAATCATCAAAGAGATCTGACAACAAATGTTGGAGAGGATGTGGAGAGAGGATCCCTCATTCACTGCTGGTGGGAGTGCATATGGTACAGCCATATGGAAATCAGTTTGAAGGTTCCTCAAAAAATTTGAGATAGAACATATGACCCAGCTATTTCACTCCTGCACATTTACCCAGAGAACTCCACACCCTACCATAGAGATATGTGTACCCCATGTTTATTGCTGTTCTAATTACTAATAGCAAGGAAATGGAACTAACCTAGATGTCCATCGATAGATGCATAGATAATGAAGATATGAGAAATATGCAAAATGGAATATTATTCAGCCCAAAAGAAAAATGAAATCACAAAATTTATAGGAAAATGGATGTTTAGAATACAATATTAAGAGAGATCACTCAATCCAGAAAGAAAAAAAAATGTGTTCCCCCTCATATGCAGATCCTCACCTATAATATGTATGTACACATGTAAACAAATGTATGTGTAGTTATGTATACATTTGCAAAGCTAACAAGGGTAAAATTTGGTGATGCAGAAGGACAGAATACAGGTAAAAGACACATGAGTCGGGGGCTGGAGAGATGGCTCAGCGGTTAAGAGCACTGACTGCTCTTGCAGAGGACCCAGGTTTGATTCCCAGCACCCACATGGCAGCTACGAACAGTCCTTAACTCCAGTTCCAGGGGAATCAGAAGCACAACACGGGTGTACTCACATACACGCAGGCAAGACACTCATGCACGTAAAATAAAAATAATAAATAAAATAAAATTTAAAAAAAAGAATAAATTCATTAAAAAGAAGACACATGAGTCGTGAAGGAGGATAGAAAGTTTATTGTTTTTCTACTTTTAACACTATCATGGCTCTCTTATTTCTTTGTAGTAAATAAGTGCATAAAAATGTAATTGACAGTGAAAGTGTAAAACCCTAAACTAAGCTCCATGACCTCAGAATGACCATTCTAACGTGCAGAAGTTCACTGAGAAGCATAGAGTATGGACTGAGCAGGTATTGGAGTGGCACCTTTACCTAGCTGTGTGATGTTTTCATTTGTGAGGTCATTGAAAAAAAGTGATTTTTATGTTAAAAAATGAATCCAGGAAAAGGGAGAAGAAACATTGCTCATAGTTTCATTACACAATTATTAAGCTCCTCTGACTAGAGGAAAGGCCTGTGGGGCTCAAAAACAAATGCTTTTCATTCATCTCAGAGAGCTTAACTGCCAAAATTCCTAGAAGAGAACCTGGGTCAAAGGGTTAGTTGTCTGATAGAAAAGTTGTCCTCTCTTACATCTAGAGTGAGGCTTCCAGTACTGTTCAGGGTGGAAAGTCAATGAGTCCCTCCCAATTTCTTTCCTTCCTTTCCTGTAGATAACGAGTCACCTTCTAGAGAACCCCATCATCTAACCAACTGTTCAGACTTCTCTTTAGCAGATTAAAACACACACATATACACAGGACATTACACAATCTGGTAGAAAACTCTTAGATCTACTTGGTGCTATAGCCACATACCTTCTGTCACAAAGGGATGCTATTAATTCAGTTGAAAACAAATCACAGCAACTCAATTGCTAAGTCGTGCATTCAAAGCCTTATGCAGAATTTTTAATTGGTATGGTATATTCATAGGTAAGCACATACTTTTTTATTTGTACAGGTAATGGTGTATATCTAAAATGCACATATATACGAAATACATAAACATACATATAATACAAGCACACGTGTGTACATGTGCATATATGCATGTGTTGTACAGATGACCAAATATGTAAAGTAGAAAAATAGAATTCCCTCTTTATTTATTTTTTGTTTTTGATTTATTTATTTTTATTTTATGTATATGAGTGTTATGCCTGCATGTATGTAAGTGCACCCATGTCATACAAAGCCCACAGAGGCCAGAAGAGAGCATCAAATCTCCCGGAACTGGAGTCACAGACAGTTGTTACCCACCATGTGGGTGCTGGGAATCAAACCAGGGTCCTCTGGAAGAGTAGCCAGTGCTCTTAACTGCTGAGTCATCTCTCCAGCTCCAGAGCTCCATCTTTTCAAATCCCAGTTTGACATTTTCTCTGAAAGAAATAAATAAACCCTCTGTTTTACAAATCCTAAAGAATAGTAAATATTTATTTTCCTAATTTTCACTGGGCTTGCTTGTTTATGCATCTATTTTATGTTACTTTTTTTCGTGCAGTGTTGGGGATCAAACTCAGAGTCTTACATATGCTAGACAAGTCTTCTACTGCTGAGCCACTCCACCTTCAGCCTTACACACCTGGTAGTTTTGATAACAAGCATATACCCTAAAATGAGGATGAACAACCAGAGGTGATAGGAAGACATCAGGCATCTTATAATTCATCAGAAGAGACCCAGATACTCCATTCTTCAGCTTGACATCAGTAGGATAGATATAAAGGGGTTTGGATTTATTTGTTTTTAATTTTATACCATATTTCCTGAAGAAAGAAGGGCCAGGGATGGTGAAGCCATGAGGCTGAGCCCTTCCCAACAATATGCTCCCGGAGTAAGGCAACTCAATGACAGATAATGCAGTTAGGCAAAGGAGAGCGCCCCCTCCATTTAGCTGCATGTGCAGTCTGCATCAACTCTAACAAGGCCAGTAGAAGTCAAGTCACCTTGTCCTCCTGGTAAATGTTCAAAAGGAGATAATGTGGGAAGGTTATTATTTTAATTTTTAAACACAAAGAAAACTTTCAGAAATGCAATTTAGATTATAGTAGAATTCCTTCTAGCTCTGATATGGTGTCAGTTGAAAAGGGAAATTTATCAGGAAATCCGTGACATCTCAGCTTCCACACTGACCAGCTATGTAAGCCTCTTCTCCCAGTGGCAATGACAACCAATGTCTGTTGATGACATCATCACACAGAGCTGCCACTGTCTCCATCAATGATAACAAGGAAGAATTTTGGAAACGCATAATGCTAGGTAGTCATTACTGCACTCAAGTTGCTAGAGAAGATGGGGCGGGGGATGGGAGGGTGATGACTGATTCTATTCTGTAGCTGCTCTTACCTCCAGCAAAACACAGCAGTAATTTTCCCTCTAATCAGCTTGAAGGCCCCTGGATCTGGCTTTTGCCTCTGATGACATTAAGACAAGGAGACAGGTAATTCATTCCAGGTTAAATACTTGACTTGTTTGAATACCTTTCAGTGTCTTATCTTCAGCTCCTTGTATGGTCTTATGAACCAGTTGCTTCTGATTGTGATCTTGATGGAGACAAGGATTATCTGTCCCCTGCCCTGCCCTTTAAGACCGTTAAGGCCCCTCTGCTACCCCTACTGTTTTCTTCTTTCTCTCCCCAGGGGCAGGGACGGGAGGTAAGAGTTTATTTTGCACTCAGCTGAAAAGAACGGCAAGAATTTATTTTACAAGCAGTTCTTACAAAGCAGAGACCCAAACAATGGTGCTTCACAGCCAGTTATGGTTTCAGGGCTCCAGGTCCATAAGGTCTTCTGCCACTGGCCCAGCAAGGGGAGGGTCCAGCAATGTTCTGTTTTCCAGAATCTTCTTTTTATAAAAAGAAAGGCTCAGATGGCATTAAGCAAACAAGGGCCAGTGGCATCTCCAACCACCTTCCATATTTTACACAGAGAGACATAAAAAGTCTTTGTTCTTCCTTTTCACATCTTCCTGCCCATGTCTAATTGACTATGTTAAAGGTAGATGTTAGATGGTTTGAACTAAGCTCCTACATTTAGGTCCTATATTTAGCTCCTGCACACCAGGTGAAGCATCAAAACAGAGTCACCAGGTTGAAACTAAACTGTTTCATCTGACCTTGGGAGAAATCAAGATTAGAAAGAGAACAGTCAAATTATCTAAGTAATTTTAACTGGCAAGATACTGAGATACCCTCTCTTACTCCTTAAACAAAAGAAGCATTAGAAATGACTTCTGGTAGCCAGGGTGGGACATAATGACGCATGCTTTTGATCCCAGCACTGGAAAGGCAGAAGCAGGCAGATCTCTGTGAGTTCAAGGCCAGCCTGGTCTAGTTCCAGGCCAGCTGGGCTACAGGGAGACCCTGCCTCAAAAAAGACAAAAAACCAACCAACCAAACAAACAAAAAAACTTCCTGCTACTGATCTTTGTTTTGTTCTTGCTTCACAGGGAAGATAATCAGGAGCTGGGGACACAGCTCAGGATAGAGCATTGGAGCATGGCCAAGGCCCTGGGTTCAATCCTTAGTACCATAAAACAAGCTTTGAAGTCATCAGTCCAGTTTTTGTATCTGCTTTCCTGAATCCCTCCTATCTATCTTTAAAACCTTTGCCCCTATCATTAGAATAATTGGTCTGGTATAGAATGAAGTGTAATCCAATTCTAGGGTTGAAAATAAAGATAAAGTTCTTAAATCTAAATTGTTGTGGGGCTGGAGAGATAGTTCATTGGTTAAGAGCACTGGCTGCTCTTACAGAGGACCCGGGTTCATTTCTCAACATCTACATGGTGGCTAACAACAGTCAGTGACTCCAGTTCCAGGGGATTCAACACCCTCTTCTGACCTCCCAAGTACACAGGTGCACTTACCTACATGCAGGCAAAATACTCATACATATAAGATAAAAATAAATACATGTGCCGGGTGTGGTGGCACACGCCTTTGATTCCAGCACTCGGGAGGCAGAGGCAGGCAGATCTCTGTGAGTTCAAGGCCAGCCTGGTCTACATAGTGAGTTCTAGGCCAGCTGGGGCTACAGGGAGACCCTGTCTCAAAAAGGCAAAAATAAATAAATAAATAAATAAATAAATAGATAGATAGATATAAAAAATGAAAAAAAGTCAACTGTTGCACTTTTGTCTTTTTACAACACTTAACTAAGCTTGGGGCTTTCTCAGTGGTGCTAAAGAATTTAAGGAAGACCTAGCACTGTGATTTAGCTCTACAGAGAGGCTTTTATTCCCTTCCAGTTAGTATAAATGGGCCACTTCCCCGAAGCAGGCCATTTATCAAGTGGTCAGTTGGAAAGCAGGAGGGGAAAAGACTACCCTCACTGTGTTGCTCACACCGAAAGCAGAAACGAGGCTTGTGCTGATCTCAAAACCTCCCATCCTCACCAGGCAGCAGCAATGAGTTTTCCCCGGTGGTGGAGGTGGGTCTCTAAACTGTGTGCCCTGTGACGTCTTAGGACAGGATCACGTTCGGTTCTGGCAGCCCTTTGGACTGAGGGCCTTGACATCAGGTCTGGATGCTAGATTAGTCCCTAATCAGTCCCTGGTCAGTGGGGACTGGGACAACAGTACTGTGGGAAGTCTCCAACACCGTTGCCTCCCCTCTCTTCCTACCCCCAGCTACATCTTGTACTGAAAAAATAAGTGTATAGATAGTCACTATGTAGCTTGGAACTTGCTATGGCGAGCAGGCTGGCCTGAAACTCACAGAAATTTACCTGCCTCTTCCTCTTCCTCTTTCTCTGCCTCTGCCTCTGACCTTAAAGGCTTGTGTCATGACACCTGGATAGGGCACGGGCACGTGTGTGTGTGTGTGTGTGTGTGTGTGTGTGTATGTGTGCAAGCACGTGAGGCCCCGTTGTCTCTTTGCTTCATGGTAGGGGGCCACAGGTGGGGTGTACAATGCACTGCCTTCTAAAGCCCCATTCCAAAACCTTTCACTTGCTAGCTGGAGGTAAGTTGCTTTAAATATCCTGGTCTCAAATTCCCCATCTATAAAATGGGACTGCCCTACTTTAAGGGAGAAAGGGCTTATTCACCTTAAAATTCCAGGTTACAGTCTTTCATTGTGGGGAAGTCAAGGCAGGAACTTGAGCAGCCAGGCACATCCACAGACAGGAGCAGAGACAGAATGGCTGTGCACTTGCCTGTGCTCTGCTCAGTTTTTCTTTTTTTATATACTTCAGGCCCCAGACCCAGGGAATGGTACTGCCCACTTTTAGGCTCAGTCTTCCCACATCATTTAACATAATCAAGACAGTCTCTCACAGACATGTCTAGAGGCCAACCTGATTTAAACAATCTGGCTGGAGACTCTTCCCAGGTGATTCTAGATTGTAACAAGTTAAAGTCAGTTAAAATTAACTATCACAGGACTAATAGTAAAACTGACCCAGTGGGCCATTGTGAGCACTAAATGAGGTAATTAATATGAAGCACTTAGAACAATATCTCATAGCAAGCACTCATAAATGGTAGCCATGGTTTCTTGTCCGCCCCCACTGCACCATGTTGGGGATTGAACCCAGGGCCTCATACATGCTATATAAATGTTCTTCTGTTGGGCCTCATCCCCAGTTCTTGTTCTTATTTTTTATCTATAGAATCTGAGGGCCAAACAGAGAACGGCTCAACCCAATCTCATCTAAATACCTTCACCACAGTGTTCCTGCCACAGATCAGCACTGTACAACAGAAATGCCATGCAAGCCAGTAATTTGAAATATTTTTCTAAATGCATTTTTGTTTCTAGATATGGTCTCACTATATAGCCCAGACTGGCCTCAAACTGGCAATCCTTCTGCCTCGGTATCCTAAGTGCTAGAATTATAAGTATGCTTACCAGCTCTGACCAATCTGCTTTTTTTTTTCAAAGAGGGAAGAACATAGGTGAAATTATTATTATTATTTATTATTATTTTGAGACAAAGTCTCATGTAGTCAAGGCTGGCCTCAAACTCAATGTATAGTCAAGAACTCCTTGAACTTTTTTTTTTTTTTTTTTTTTTTTTTTTTAAAAAAAAAAGCCCCAGCTGGCCTGGAACTCACTATGTAGACCAGTCTGGCCTTGAACTCAACAGAGATCCGCCAGCCACTGCCTCCCGAGTGCTGGGATTAAAGATGTGTGCCTCCATGCCTGGCTAAACTCCTAGAACTCGATTCTCCACTTCCCAAATGCTTAGAATACAAGTGTATGCTATCACACCCAGGTGCTAGAGATTGAACCCAGGACCTTGTACATGCTAGGCAGGCACTCTACCAGCAGATCTGTATCCCCAGGCTATGAATTAACTTTGTAGTAGAGTCTGTTTAAACCCATATATCTAAGATACCATCATTTTGGTATGTTGTCAATATAAAATTATTGAGATATTATGTATATGGGCATATATACATATACATATATTAACTAAAACTTTAAAAAACTGGTATCTATTTTGTATTTATAGATCATCTTAACTTGGACTAGTATCAAAAGGCAAAATTACAACAATTTAGTTTTAAAATCTTAACTGGGTTCATTTCCAACTCTAAAATTGGTTGACACATTATTGCATAAAATAAATTGTTTCATTGTGTTAAGCAGGAGAGACACAGGACTGAAAAAGGCAGAGACAAAGGATAAGGAGCAATTGGGTCGCCTCCAAGTTACTTACCTTGTAAGCAGGGACGGGGGACAGAACAACAGAAAAAGAGCTAAAAGTAGAGGAGCTTTGTCACTGCACAATAGAAACTGGCTTGCTGGGAAATCTGGTACTGTCCCACCTGAAGATTACATAGCCATACAGCTTGGGTTTGGTAATGTGACATGTTAGAACAGGTTGTTCCATTTCAAACTTTTGTCGTGTTAGGGCCACCTATATTTAACACTAGCGCCATGTTTCATGTGCTCATAGCTGCATGTGGTTTGTACAGCTTGGCATCCTTACTCCCCAGGGTGGCCTGCTAACTGGCCACATCTGAACCAGTTGGTCAGACTTACCAGATTTGAATCTGTATTTCACCTGTGCACAGGTGATGAGCACACATTAAAACTTGGGCACTTCCTGTTAACACTGTCTTCTGAAGGCAATCTGAGATCTTGCAGGAAGCAGAGGTGCTCTCCTCTACCACCCTTTCTTTGTGCCTTTGGAGATTTCAGTTGTAAATGATAAAACCTGTACACTAACGCCACCCCCACCCTACCCCCCAAATCCCAAGCTAACTGGGTCAGGGATGGACCTAGGTAGCAGGTATTATTTAGGAAGCTCTACAGAGCTGAAACCCAGGTAGAGTCACATGATTCAGACCTGCCAGGTATCAGGACAAACACACCTCAATTTAAAAATCCACTCAAAACAGAGGGCTTTGGACTGAAATTGGGCATGTGATTTCTATAAGTAGCTAAATCTTTATAAAATTGCATGAAATAGTCCTAATTGTCTCACAGACTCCCAGAAAATGATGCCATCTATGAAGATAGTATTCCTTTGGGGGGAAAGAGATTCTCTTAATTTGGCACCTGCTGTACATGCCTGCTGCCTTGTGCTGACCTAGCTAATTGCCTTCAGATTACTGAACTATGGAGCAAATATTGAATTTACATAATCATTGTCCTACAGATGTCCATGTTCCAGATAATAATACAGTCCATCCTTTCCTGGAAACAGTTAAATTCCACAGCTATTTATTGAGACCCTTCTGTATGCCAGACACAGTAGGGCTGCCAGTGGTCACTGCCTCACCACCTTCTGGGGACACCACAGGAGCTAGAGTTGAGGGGAGTCCAGTCCTCTCTGCTGTTCATTTTCTCAGTTTGAGAAAAGGAAAATAAAATGCTGTATAACAACTTTATTACCAGTACTTACAGTGTCTGAGGGATTTCAATGATCATCATTATTTTGTATTATGGTGGCATTTGAAAATATTGTGTGTATCCAAAAAAAAAAAAAAAAAGAGGGCCTGGAGAGATGGCTCAGTGATTGCTCTTGCAAAGGACCTAAGTTCTATTCCCAGTACCCACATGGCAGCTAACAACTGTCAGTAACTACAGTTCCATGGGATCCAACACCCTCTTCTGGCCTCCAAGGGCATTGCACCACAAGGGTGCACTCATATACAATAAAAAAGAATGAATAAATTTTGCAGGGAGTGGTAGTGCACGCCTTTAATCCCAGCACTCTGGAGGCAGAGGCAGGTGGATCTCTGTGAGTTCAAGACTAGTCTGGTCTATACAGTGAGTTCCAGGCTACCTGGGGCTACAAGGAAAGGAAACCCTGTCTCAACAAAGACCAAGTATAAATATAATGTGTATTCATATGATACGTATGGCGTGTATATGGACAGTCATACCATTCATGCCACAGTATACCGGGAAGTCAGACGACCACTTTGCGGAATCATTTATCCCCTATCTTTATGTGGGTTCAAGAACTGAATTCGGGTTTCAAAGCTTGACAGGTGCCTTTAGCAGTTAAGCCATCTTACCAGTCCATGGTTGACATTGTTAACTTTAAAAAGTAATCTTAGAGAGGTAGGACCTTAGGAGAATGGTATTATTAAGGGAGAAATGGAGGAAATGGGGGCACCTTAAGTGGGAAAACAATGATGGAGGG